AAAGTCCGTCTTTCCTTTCTTCAAGTCTGCTTCACCGCTGCTGCCGAGGATAGAGGAAGAAGAAGCAGGGGTCGAGTCTTTGCGCCTTCTGGATGTTGAAGCTAGGGGTGTGTTGAGGTGTCTCATCTTAAGTTTAAAAGGACTGTGACCCCTTGGGTGGTCGAGAGAGTGCATTTGATATCGAATTTACTGAGGCACTAACTGTAATCCGATCCGTAATTATGACTGTTTTTAAGACTGTAGTAACAGTCTCACCATCACTTAAGTAGTATTATCTTTCAAACATTCCACACAAGAGGAGAGTGTTGATTAGGATTCATGCCTAAATGTTCTGAGGTAAAACAAGTGTCAGACGTGGTATCCAGCTGCGAAAACACCGCCTTCACCACCATCTCAGGGCTTTCAGTTTAATTTATGCTCCACATGGCATAACGAATAGAGACCGAACATTGTAATTCAATAGTTGTATGGATATTTTCTTGAATGAGACAGAATTTGCCACTAGAATGTCAGTAAAACGTACATTTAACAGAATCTAGCTACGTCTGATAAAACCCTTATGTTCTGTTATAGCAATGTCTGTTGCTTCTACTTTATTTTGCTCCTGAAAATCCAACGAAAGCGATCCCGGATGAATTGGTCGTGACCTTTAAATAAATACGCCTGAGGAAATGGGAATGAGTGTCAGTAGTGGGATCGCAGCTCCTCTAATTCCATATCGCCATAAACATACTGTCTAAATTAAATAAGTAGGTATACCTTTAAAACAAAAAGTCACTAGACGGGGCTGCATATTATAGGGTTTCAGTTCTGCTTCAGTGACATGGGTTCAACAAAAAGACACTGGTGATCATCCAAATCTTGCTTGAATGTCTGTAGCCAAGTTGCCTTCACCATTGTTTGAGGGAGATCTGTCCACTTTCCACCACCCTTTCGAGGAGATTTTCCGAAGTGGAAGCTTACATATCCATGTGCACTTTCACTGGGTGCCCATTAAGGTTACTATGAAGCTATCATGGAACTCAGTTTCTGCTTTTTTCTACTGAGCATTGAACCGTAAAAGTACTAAGGAGGAGGAGGGGTGGTTTCATCGAAACTCAAACTTGAGGTAGAACATCGTGGATAACTCAGCCATATCCTTCACATTAAGCCTCGTATTAATTTCATCAACTGTGGGCCAATGTTACTGAAATATCTGCTGACAATGTCACCTATTTGTGCAGGTCTCAATCTGGACCAACCCTCTTGTCTCATCGGACACTGTGAACTCCTCTTTTCCTATGCGGACGGAGAAGCACTATCAGCCTCCCTGCACATCGATGGCGTCCAAACTGCAATACGTCCGTTGCCAGGACGTTCTCTCAAATCGGCCGTAATAAATTTCACAACAGTCAAAACGCACACCTTTCAGCTGACCGTGAATGACGAATATAAAGAGACTAGGTTGGATGGAAATTTCAATGTGGATGAGGCAGTCAAGGGCCTGAACATCGTAATCGATCCAATGTAAGTGCCAGCAGAACTACATAAACTATTTGGGCAGAGGGTTTCTTGTTTTCAGACAAAGAAGCAAAAGGGCTACTATTACCGAAATGATCCTTTCCTGCTTTCTAGTGCATGTTATTTTTAGTAGCCCTTTTGCTTCTTTGTCTTAACAGAGGAAACCCTCAGCCAACATGGGTTAAGTGCAATATGTGCTGCAAGAAACATTCCGCAATTTGAAACAAGACCGGTAATCACTCGCAAACAAACATTGAGTAGGGTTTCAATACTGTTTATCATGCAGTGCAATTTTAATCATTTTCAGTCACGCTAGGATGCCTTCTCTGAGATAGGCTTCTATATGACTGCTGTGAAAGAGTTGCTTCTGTAAAGGATGGTTTCTTAAATAGAATGCATTTTTATCATTGATGCTGACTACCTTTATGAGGTCAAATATATTTTATGGAAAGTATGCACGGAAAATTCCTCTCTGTAAATTATTACATAGAAAATTATGCCATCTTTAAATTTTATGCTTAAAGGAGGGTTTCACTTCGGTTTAAAGAAAAATTATAAATTGCCGAATGATTTTGAAACCTACCGATTGCTAGAACTGAATTCAAGTTTTACAAACTGAATGCTGTGTTCATCCTGTTTAAGGAAATATAAGTTTTTGCCTATGGTTTGAGTAAGCGGTTGCGTAGCTCTCATAGGATTTCTCAATAGACATGGATCATGCTGTATATATCAGTGGCATCCGTAATAAATTGACGCATGCGGTATATTATGAATGAACACCGCAAAGTCATAAAAAAATCAAAATTATAATTTTCTTAAACTGAAGGAATCCCTTCCCTTAAGAATAAAATTTAACGAAGGCGTAATTTGCGATAAAATAAGTACAAGAGAGGAAGCACCTCTTTCACAGCGGTCAGATATAAGCTTTTCACAGAGTCGGCATCCTAGCGTGACTGAAAATAATTGAAATTGCACTGCATGATAAACAGTATTGCAACCCTACTCAATGTTTGTTTGCGAGTGATTACCGGTCTTGTTTCAAATTGCGGAATGTTTCTTGCAGCACATATTGCACTTAACCCATGTTGGCTGAGGGTTTCCTCTGTTAAGACAAAGAAGCAAAAGGGCTACTAAAAATAGCAAGTAGCTGAAAGCAGGAAAGGATCATTTCGGTCTGGTCATGACCCAGTTCCTGTCGGGAGGACGTGACGTTTGAGCCCATGAGTCAATCATTTGAAAGATTCAGGATCCGATTTTGCTACTTGAAACCGCCCGCATGGCTGTAGTTCTACAGGTTAAAACGGCAACCCCACGTTCTGTAATAGGAAAAGAATTTTTAGCGCATAGGGAGCGCCGGAATAACGATGGTATTCGCCTCGTCTATAGCCTGGTGTTTATATTCAAAGTAATTACTCATGCCGAATCGGTCAGCTTAGACAGAAAGAATCTGACAGTCAAATTATAGGAGTCTATGAACGTGTTAATTACTGCTGGATATATGTTCTTCTGAATTCATCTTTATGTTTGGAATAAGATTACTGACAAAGGAAATGGAAATTGAACTAGCCACTTCTGGCTTATTAATCTTTATCAGCCAAGTATATCCAACCCGCTCGAACTTAACATGCTGGCAATAAGTGTAGCGTTATCATAACTGAACCAAGGGGTCGTTACCCCGTCGGTTTAGACTAGATATACTAATAACGGTAGGGGAGCTCGAAAAATGTGAACTTGGAGGCAGCCTTCCGGAACAGTTTTGGTGCAACAAACGGTGTAAGTTTAACTTGGGTACCAGAATTTCTTAAATTGTCTAATGTTGGCAACAAAAAAACGCACCATGAATAGTTTATAGTCTGAATGGTCAAGAATATGCGAGGGCCAGGTAACTGAATAGAAGAAGGTAAAACGTTCGGTGAGACCAGGGGTTTATTTGTCCAACGTTTCGATCCCTCCAGCGAGCTCATTATCAAGGAATGAAACATGTACAGCTCACAGTGTATTTAACTCAGTTCTGCAGGGATTGACCTCTGCCCTTGACCTCTGTCATCGATCTGCTCGCCGTGCGACGGAAAGACAAGCTTTCCCTGGTGGCCGCCCACGCATCCACACCAGGGCATGGCTTCGACTTCAAACGCGGGCGAATACTGGGTCGGTCAGACGACCGAATTTCACTTCTGCTGCAGGAAGCATGGCATTCGTGCGTGGACTCAATTACCAGACATATTGAGCTTCCTGATGCCTACCTCGCGTTGCGCGAGTAGATCGAGTGCAGAGCTTAAGAGCAGAGGTCACTCCCAGCAGAACCGAGTTAAATACACTGTGAGCTGTACATTTTTCATTGTGAGCTTGCAAATGCAAAAAATCT